AGGCACCTGGGAAAGTCACATGTCCCTGCATGACTCAGTCTTTACAGGCCGAAGCCATTGTCCACATGGTATCTTGCCTGTCTCCAGGAAGACTTCTTATGTGGATTGGAGCATTCCAAGATGCATTGTTCCCCAAGTGTTTCCTGATCAGGTACTTAACCTGGTGAATTCCTTCCTAAAGAAGCTGACCAAATGCCTCCCAAAGCTTACTTAGGCTGGGTCTACACTACCCGCCTGAATCGGCGGGTAGAAATCGACCTCTCGGGGGTCGATTTATCGCATCCCATCGGGACGCGACAATCGATCCCCGAATCGACGCTCTTACTCCACCAGCGGAGGTGGGAGTAAGCGCCGTCGACGGGAAGCCGCAGAGGTCGATTTTGCCGCCGTCCCTACAGCGGGGTAAGTCGGCTGCAATACATCGAATTCAGCTACGCTATTCGCGTAGCTGAATTTGCGTATCTTAAATCGACCCCCCCCCCCCGTAGTGTAGATGTAGCCTTAGAAACCAAGCAAGCATACAGCCCATATTCTTAACCTCAAGTAGAAAATGATATATATGTACAAATAGGATGAATAGATATAGTAGACCATAACCTTTACGGAGCTGTATTACCTGGCACAGACAGCACAAAACATATTCCAGTTATGTCATACCAACATTTATAAGCACCCCCCCATAAAGCCTTATGGGGTACACTGTCACAGGAACTATAACTGTAGCTTATTTAAAAAACAAACAAAAAACCATTCCGAATGTCCCCTACGTCCTGCAGAATACAGGCATTAGCACACCCTCACATGTCATCTTTAACATAATTAATACACCTGATAGTTACTGCTGTATTGTGGCATTTGATCCGCTTGATGAGTTAAGAAATGTATATACCTAGGCATATTGCATTCTTAGGTATGACCTTTTAAATATTTAGTTTAGTGGAGTAGTGATAAGCCTCCACTAATGGATGCATTTTGTTGTTTTGTTGTTGCTATTTTTGCTAGAAACCACAGTTCCCATTTGTGCAAAGGACATCAGTGACGATCTGAGGAAAAAGTTTGCGTTTCTTTCTGGTGAGTATGGTAAACTTTCCCCATGTTCTCTGTGTAAAGTAATTTAATTCTCTGTGTGAACCTATGTACTGTTTGGCAAAATGATACTATACACAGGAGAATATTCATCAGGTCATCACCGGTGCCACTAGCAGTGTTGTTAATAAAACATTGTGGCAGTTTGAAAGACCAGCTTAGGTTTCTTTCTCAAGCCATGCTACAAAATATTCCATTTTTCAAACATTTAGAGTATTAACAAGTATGGTGCTTTGAAATAGAATATATTTCTATAGGCTTGTGGCCAGTTTACAAGTATTAACCCTTTTTTCCCCGACTTCTTTGCCGTCACATCCTAAGTATGCTGATATGGAGATTAAGTGATACATCTGGTTAACCCTCCCCTCCCCCCAGCATCTAATACTTTTGATAGATCTAACTCTTATGTGGGAAATGAGCATCTGAAACCCAAGGTAGAATTTGGCCCATAATACTGAAATGTTTTAGGGGCCAGTTCCCAGGTCCTTTCCTCAGGAAGGATCAGATGAAAAACTAAGAAAGTTCCTGCCTGAAGAGAGGTACCACTGAAAATAGTACCCCTTATGTCCCATTTTCAAAATTGATTTTAGGGTATGTCCACACTGGGATAAGAGACCTGGGGCTGGCCAGGGTCAGCTTACTTGGGCTTATGGGGCTGCGTGTTTTGTTTTAAATTGGGGCTTTTACGGCTTGGCGTGGTTTCTGGACAAACTGTTCAGACAAGCACTGTTCTTTTACTTGTAGGTGGCCGAGGGAAAGACAACGGTTGGATCATCACGTTTCCTGAAAACTCCCATTTCCATGAAGCATCAGAGGAGGTTCTAACGAAAGTCTTAACATACTTAACTTTGGTCCCAAGGTACGGTGCTGCCTTCCGGCTTTCATGCTTCGTTGGCAGAGGCTCCCATCTGATCTGGTGTCGGACACGTGAGCTGCGGTACAATTGTCTCATTGTGAATGAAGCTAGTTAGAGAAGGAGGAAATTACCTGCAAAGCCTCATGTTGTTAAGCCAGAGTGTTACACTGGTATTTCTTATACCAATAATTACATAATAAAAAGTCAATTTTTGTCCCTATTGGCTGCTGGTTTCATAAACCTACCGATGACAATAATAATTAATGGAATCACTTGGCTTAATCTTAGATGGGTGTCAGCACTCAAAAATGATATGCCACCGGCAAATAATTTGGGATATATTTTGCACGTGCAAGTGGAGAGTATGTTAATTTGGAAAAAGAGAGCGAGACCTTGAGAAGTAAAATAACTAAAGGAACGAGAGCCATTTGGTTGAATACTTTCCCATATCATTATGCTTTCTCTCCTGGTGCTGTACTACATTTTCCAGTACTGTTTTTCTGTAGCAACATTTACTCGCTGACAGTCTACCAGTCCCACAAGGTAGTTATGCTAGGATTAATGGATCTGAACAATTTCTTCTTCCTGAGCCTGGTGGGTTGAAGTTACCTGGAATGCGTAATCTCTTTTTAACTCTCTCTCACCTAGTTTGGCAAATTGCTTGCTACAGAGTGAGCAGGGTGAAGACAGCTAGGTGGCCATCAACCGCTGTCCTGGAAAAGTGCCATGTGTTTTCTCACAAACTCAGGGACAAAGAATTGCTGGGTTCTTGTGGCCTATTTAATTCTTGAGTGACTTGCATTCTACATCTACCCTCATCACAGTTGTGCTGATAGAGCAAAACTCCCAGTGCAGCTAGGTTGTATACAGTGTTGTTATAGTTGTGTGGGTCCCGGGATATTAGGTGGCACTCCCAATGTGGTGCTAGCTGGCCACCAGTTCCTCCAAGAGAGGGCTTGTGTCAGCACATCCTTTCTAGTAGAGTTGGGCATGTGCAAACAGACCTTGCAGTCTCTGGTTGTGAACCAGCCGCTGCAAGTTCATTGGAGGCTCCATTTCCATCTCTAGTCATTTCTCTTCTGCTATTTCCCTTACTTGCCGCTTCTTCCTGCTTTACTTCCCCACCCGACTCCTTTTCTCTCCTCATTGACTTTCCTTCATATCCTTTCACCTCCCGTTCCCTTTTCCTGTCTTTCTTCCTCCTCTCTCTCTCTCTCTCTCAAACTTTGCTCAGATTTTTCTGTCTTCACTTCACAGACTGCCAGGCAGTTTCATATCAGGCGATGGTTGAAACTTGGCATTCATGGAAACCATGTCACAGCAAGATGTTTTTTCTGGGTCTGTTGAAAGTAGCAGTAATGCTTCTCTGGTCGGTAGGGGTGTGACATGTGACTATATGAGACCACTACTCAACCTTGTTGATTTCCACAGAATTTTATACCGAATGCAACATCTGCTGTTCTATACTATTATTGCAAATACATACAATGTTATAAAATTACATTTAATATGATGTATTTTTGACCTATTCCATGTGAAGCCCTGTTGAGGGCTATAAGACTGATGATGATTCAAACATAAAGTTGGCACTTTATTTGCAGTGAGTCACACTACCTGCTTCTCTTCTCTTCCTACGGTTCTAAGAGCCTCTTTTGATTTTTAACTTTAGTAATAGGATGCTTTGTATCCCGAGGGAATCTAAAACGTTGTGATTAGGGCTGTCAAGCGATTAAAAAAATTAATCGTGATTAATTGCACTGTTAAACCATAATAGAATACCATTTATTTAAATATTTTTGGATGTTTTCTACATTTTCAAATATATTGATTTCAGTTACAACACAGAATACAAAGTGTACAGTGCTCACTTTATATTTATTTTTTATTACAAATATTTGCGCTGAAAAAAACAGAAGAAATAGTATTTTCAATTCACCTAATATAAGTGCTGTAGTGCAATCTCTTGATCATGAAAGTTGAACTCACAAATGTCAAATTATGTACAAAAAATAACTGCATTCAAAAATAAAACAACGTAAAACTTTAGCGCCTACAAGTCCACTCAGTCCTACTTCAGCCAGTCACTCAGACAAACAAGTTTGGTTACATTTGCAGGAGATAATGCTGCCCGCTTCTTGTTTACAATGTCACCTGAAAATGAGAACAGGCATTCGCATGGCACTGTTGTAAACAGCGTCACGAGGTATTTACGTGCCAGATGCGCTAAAGATTCATATGTCCCTTCATGGTTTCACTACCATTCCAGAGGACATGCTTTCACGCTGATGGCAAGTTCAGCTCAATAACGATCCAAAGCAGAGCAGACCGATGCATGTTCATTTTCATCATCTGAGTCAGATGCCACCAGCAGAAGGTTGATTTTCTTTTTTGGTGGTTTGGGTTTTGTAGTTTCCGCATAAGAGTGCTGCTCTTTTAAGACTTCTGAAAACATGTGCCACACTTCATCCCTCTCAGATTTTGGAAGGCACTTCAGATTCTTAAATTGTGTCGAGTGCTGTAGCTATTTTTAGAACTCTCACATTGGTAACTTCTTTGTATTTTGTCAAATCTGCAGTGACAGTGTTCGTAAATCAAACATGTGCTGGGTCATCATCCGAGACTGCTATAACATGAAATATATGGCAGAATTCGGGTAAAACAGAGCAGGGGACATACAATTCTCCCCCAAGGAGTTCAGTCACAAATTTAATTAATGCACTATTTTTTTAACCAACATCATCAGCATGGAAGCATGTCCCCTGGAATGGTGGCTGAAGCATGAAGGGGCATACAAATGTTTAACATATCTGGCATGTAAATATCTTGCAACGCCCACTACAAAAGTGCCATGCGAACACCTGTTCTCACTTTCAGGTGACATTGTAAACAAGAAGCAGGCAGCACCATCTCCTGTAAATGTAACCAAACTTGTTTGTCTGATTGACTGGCTGAAGTAGGACTGAGTGGACTTGTAGGCTCTAAAGTTTTACATTGTTTTGTTTTTGAGTGCAGTTCTGTAACAAAAAAAAAATCTACATTTGTAAGTTACACTTTCACCATAGAGATTGCACTACAGTATTTGTATTGAGGTGAATTGAAAAATGCTATTTCTTTTATCATTTTTACAGTGCAAATATTTGTAATAAGAATAATATAAAGTGAGCACTTTGTATTCTGTGTAGTAATAAAAATCAATATATTTGAAAATGTAGAAAAACATCCAAAAATATTTAATACATTTCAGTTGGTATTCTATTGTTTAACGGTGCAATTAATTGCAATTAATTTTTTAATTGCAGTTAATTTTTTTGAGTATAAAGGTAACTAATATGACTGCACTTTGCATACATGAAGGCTGCCCTCATTTAATAGTACTACATGAAGATGTGCTCACAGGAAAGACTTATCTGGCTACACTAGTGATAAGGGGAGGGAGGAACGGATATAAAACGATAACCTTGCCAAATATTGACAGTCATGTGGTAGTAATAAATGATTAGTCTTGGAATGAGTATACAGCTTCTTATGCCCCATGCTAGCTAGATTAACGCTAATCCAGGTATGCCTACCCACTTTTCAAAACAGACGTACTCTTAAAGAGTTGTAACCAGATTCCTTGACATGGTTGTACTTGTATCGTAGACAGGGACTCATCTGAACACATGTTATCCCCCAGTGTGTAGAACTAGAATACTGCTCAGTTATCTATTAGGGTTGGGATTTTCTAAAGAATTTAAGGGAGTTCTTAGGCTCCTTTGCAAATTCCAGCTCCGAAGTAATGTGGATTTGTAAGGAATTTTCCAAACTGCACACAGCGCGCTCAAGTGCAAATAAAATTCCCATTGAACAGGAGCAACTTTGCATGTTTCTAACGTCAAACTTGCTGTCAAATAATAGTGAGATAGGTTGTTGAGTTTATTTCTGGAACCAACTGTAGAAAATAGTTTCAAATGGAATTTTAATGTTTACGAAAGGTGCCAGAGGTATTGTGTTCTGGGTATTTATGAGAACTTTGTGTGTTTGTTTTTTACTGGGACTGAAATGGCTTGCTCTCAAAATGTTACCTAGCTACTTGGTATTTTCTTGTCTTGTAGTCAACATGAATCTGACACAAAATTTATCCTAATCCTGGATAGAAGATTGGATACATGGACGTCTGTCAAAATGACTCTCCAAAGGATAGCAGTAAGCCCTTGTTATTGTTAAATGTTTTGTTACGGTACTGAGTCATCATGTACATTGTTTCAGATTTTGAAAACATCTGTATCCCAGACCTGTTCAACTAGTCTCTCTTTCAAGGCATTTCTATGACCCTTTTCACCACAGTAAATGCAGGTATTGTGATGTACCTAATTTGTATGCATATTTTAGCAGTTTGGATATCCAACTGATCATTTGCCTGTGCTCATGCAAATTAGTCACACAGCTGTGTACACATTTTTGTGCCCTGCTCTGGGCATTTGATGTTTAGACAATCCATCTCGGCATATATTCTACGTGTAGGTTCTGATTTTTAGTAGCAGATGATTATTTTACCCTTAATTGGGCAAAGTTTTATTTACTGCAAAATAGCCTTCACCATAATTTTTATACATAAAAAATCAGGGGAAAACTACTTTGAAGTTTACATGTGGTCATTCCTGGGGCCGGTTTTGTTCAATATCTTCATTAATAATCTGGAGGATGGCGTGGACTGCACCCTCAGCAAGTTTGCAGATGACACTAAACTGGGAGGAGTGGTAGATACGCTGGAGGGTAGGGATAGGATACAGAGAGACCTAGACAAATTAGAGGATTGGGCCAAAAGAAATCTGATGAGGTTCAACAAGGACAAGTGCAGAGTCTTGCACTTAGGACAGAAGAGTCCCATGCACTGCTACAGACTATGGACGAAATGGCTAGGGCTGCAGTTCTGCAGAGAAGGACCTAAGGGTTACAGTGGACGAGAAGCTGGATATGAGTCAACAGTGTGCCCTTGTTGCCAAGAGGGCTAATGGCATTCTGGGCTGTATAAATAGGGGCATAGCCAGCAGATCGAGGGACGTGATCATTCCCCTCTATTTGGCATTGGTGAGGCCTCATCAGGAGTACTGTGTCGAGTTTTGGGCCCCACACTACAAGAAGGATGTGGAAAAATTGGAAAGAGTCCAGCGGAGGGCAACAAGAATGATTAGGGGTCTGGAGCACATGACTTATGAGGAGAGGCTGAGGGAACTGGGATTGTTTAGCCTGCAGAAGAGAAGAATGAGGGGGGATTTGATAGCTGCTTTCAACTACCTGAAAGGGGGTTCCAAAGAAGATGGATCTAGACTGTTCTCAGTGGTACCAGATGACAGAAAAAGGAGTAATGGTCTCGAGTTGCAGTGGGGGAGGGTTAGGTTGGATATTAGGAAAAACCTTTTCACTAGGAGGGTGGTGAAGCACTGGAATGGATTACCTAGGGAGGTGGTGGAATCTCCTTCCTTAGAGGTTTTTAAGGTCAGGTTTGACAAAGCCCTGGCTGGGATGATTTAGTTGGGGATTGGTCCTGGTTTGAGTAGGGGGTTGGACTAGATGACCTCCTGAGGTCCCTTCCAACCCTGATATTCTATGATTCTGTGATATGTGCGTGCCCATATATGTAATAGGGTTAACTGTAGACTGTATCTAAAATGGTACAGGGATTGGGACCCAGACTTCAGAGCAGACACAGCTCTTAGTCCTGCATGGATCAGCCTCAGAAACAACTACTGAGCATGCCTAGTAACTGCCACGCTCTGTTCTGGATGTTTTTCAGTTCTTCTAGCTGACTTGCCCTGCCCGCTCTCTGTGAGTGTGGGGAGATGTTATATCCAGCTAAGATCCATGCCTCCTTCCTGCTGCTTCTCTCCTTCTCCTCTGGAGAAACATAGTCAAATGCTGCCATATAAAGCAAGTGGGTACAGATATATGTATATAAAATGTGTCTCTCTTAATTAACTAGAGCAGATGTACCCTCAGATGCAGAACAAATCTCACAAGTAACACTTCCCTCCTCTCCCCCTGCTAGTCAACAGTACGTGGTCTTTTGCAAAAATTAAAATGTAGTCTAAAAGTGCTACATTGGTGTATATAAAAAATCACTTTTATAATGAATGGAGGCTGTACTAAAAAGCTGGCAGTGAAAGGCCAGATCTAAACTGACCTTGCTACACTGGAAGGGGAAAAGAAATGTTCTGAAAAGGTCACAATCATCACCATCACCTCCTCCCGTAATACAGGGCAAGTCTGCACCACTTCACTACATCCGTGTAGCTGCAGCACTTCTGGTGAGGATGCACTGTGTCCACGGGAGAGCGCTCTCCTGTCGGCATAATTACTCCGCCTTGGTGAGAAGCAGCAGCTCAGTCAGTGGGAGTGTGTCTCTGGCCAACATAGTGCTGATGTGGACAGCGCAAAACTTGCATTTCTGGATGGGGGGTTTTCACACCCCTGAGCGATTGGGGGGGGGGGGTTTCACACCCCTGAGCGATTGGGGGGGGGGGTTTCACACCCCTGAGCGATGGGGGGGGGGGCTTTTTCATACCCCTGAGTGACATAAGTTATATCGACTTAGGTGGTGGTGTACACCTGCCCGCAAAGAGACACTTCAGATGAAGAGTTGGATATGCAAACTCAGCTGATAGAGAATGAGGCAAAGAGAGTTTATCGAGAGGAGTGTGTAACTTAGACCACTTTGTACCGAAATCTCGTTGGGCTAGCTGATGCCCTGTCAGGTCAGATCTTAAGTATTAACGAGTGTTCGACCATTAACCATTGCTGAACATGGCATTTTGCTGATAGGCGTCTAGTGGCAGTAATGGTATTTTTTGATAGTTAAAATAAGTCATGACTGTCAGAGCCTGGTCCTGTTGCCTTTACCCGGGCAATGATTGCATTGATCCCAATGGGAGCTTTTTCTGGCCCTTGAATGACATTTTCCATTCAAATAGCTTGAAACCATTTTTTTAGAACGAGAGCTCTACTTGCCTGTCCTGATGTAGCTTTCACAAAAGTGCCTGCCCTTTACATTTCATTTTAAATGATACATGAGCATGTGATCTCATAAGATATGTGCTGTGCATTTCCTTTTGCATCCACAGACAGAGGTGACTCTCTCACTGTATATCTGAGCACTTAAGGCAGTGCTGTGTGCAAACAATCCAGAGACACCCAATGCAACTAAGAATGAAAGACAGACAAATCTGTGTACACAAAGTTGTAAGACTTGAGTTCTGCCTGTGAAAAGACAGTAGTAGGATCAGACCTTAAGATGCCTCTCTCAGACCCATGTAACTGGGCAAGGGAACTAACCAGTTTTAAGATGGAGCTTGATAAGTTTATGAATGTGATTATGTGACGGGGTTGCTTGTGATAGCAGGGGACTGATTTCAATGACCCTGGAGGTCCATTCCAGCTTTATGGTCTATGTTCCCATGTAATACCTTATTACCCTGTGCTTTGTGTGTGGGGTGGGGGTGGGGGAAGAAGAGGCAAGACAAGGAAGAATAGAGACTTGATTACTTTTCCAATGATCAGTCATAATATTGGACTTGACCGAAGTTTGGAGTCAGACATTTTCTGTTCTCTGATATGATGGAGTAAAATAACTACCACATAAGTTGAATTCAAAATGCACAGGGCCTGATTTTTCTGAAGTGTGCATGTGCAAAACTCTGGCTGCAATGGCAGATCTGACCAGGTATAGCGAGACGAGGCGGGTGACATAATATCTTTTATTGGGCTAACTTCTGTTGGCGCGGGAGGCAAGCTTTCGAGTTTACATCGAGTTTTTCTTCAGGTACGTGCCTAACTGCAGACATGGGGTATGCAGCGCTGTTGGAGCCATGTTGGTCCCAAGGTACTAGAGAGACAAGGCGGGTGAGGCAATATCTTTTATGGGACCAATTTCTGGGGGTGAGAGAGACAAGCTTCCCAGCTTATTCGGCAGAGCTCTGTGACCTAAAGAAGAATTCTGTGTACGCTCCAAAGCTTGTGCCTCACCAACACAAGTTGGTCCAATAAAAGATAACACCTCTTCCCCCCCCCCATTTGCAGATGTAAGTATCCTCCTTGTGACAAGAAGAACAGGAGTACTTGTGGCACCTTAGAGACTTAACAAATTTATTAGAGCATAAGCTTTCGTGGACTACAGCCCACTTCTTCGGATGCATATAGAATGGAACATATATTGAGGAAATATATATACACACATACAGAGAGCATAAACTGGTGACAGTATGCATGTGCAATGTATGTGCATATTGGTACCATCCCGTTTAGAAAGTCAGGCCCTACCTGTACGTCCCAGGCTTTAGGATTGGACAGGCTTGGCTTTTCTAGCTTTTTCTGTTGCATAATTGGGCATATCCTTTAAAAATACATATTTCAGGCCCCACTAATTCAAGAACTACGGTATTTCCCCAGGTACAGGGATGGAGTTGTGCTTTCTTAAGGGTTCCCAGCAGAGCGCCCACATAAATGAACTACCCCTAACTCGAGGAAGATTTTTGGCATTCCACCTTAAAAAGAAAAAGGGAGCCCTTCACGGAGGGAGCAGGCACGAGTCAATCGCCGGCCCCGCACGCCTGGTCCGCTCCAGCAGCCGACACCGGATGATCCCCCCCGGGTTGAACGGGGATGAGGCGTGCGGGACCCTAGGGAATCAGTGCGGGGCGCGGGGGCCGGAGGCTGCTTGCAGGGCTGCGATGGGAGCCGCTGCGGCCGCTTTGCGGGAAGCCGGCTGGCGGCTGGGATTTTCCAGCCCCTCCTGAGAAGCGGCTCCCCCCAGGCCGGGCTGCCAGGCGCGGGAGAAAGGCGATGGCCGAGGCGGCCCCCGCCGGAGGTATGCGGAGACGCCGGAGGAATGCGGTAAGGGCGCTCCGCCTGCAGTCCTGCCAACTGCACAGCCCAAGTTCAAGTGCAAGGCTGCTGCAGCGCGGGGCTCTAGCACACAACTGCTGCTGAACGGGGGAGACCCGGGGAGAGCCCTGCGTTTGCATGTGCTGCATGCGACCACCCGTCTGCCTCTTGCATGGGCAGCCCGAGAGCGGGGGGAAAAGGGAAATACTGTCAGGTGATGATTTCATCCCAGGGAGTATTTTTAGTAACGTCTCTTTTAGAGGGAGGCATCGGATACTCCGGAAATCTCTCTGCAGCATTGTCCTCAGGGCTTAGGTTACATTCAA